AGGTCAGTGAGTGCTGCAAACCAAGCTCCTCTGGAATTCCTCTTCCTTTCATTTCATTTTTTTAAGGAAATACTCATTTGTATTGAGACATTTAAGGCTTCAGATTTGTTTTGTCTTCCTGGTACTTGCTGTGCTTGCTGGACACTTTAATCAGAGTTTCACACACTGGGCAGAACATTTCACAGAAGGGAGCACGTGGATCATCCAGGGCAGTTCTTCAGGGAATGATCCATGGATCGAACCCAGATTTGGTGTCAGCATCCCCCTGCTCTGAGCAGCCTGGCACAGACAGAAAGTTTTCCAAGGAAACCATCAGCCAGCTCCAGTTTCCATCAGGAGCTGTGTTTTCCACAGGTGCTTCTGTTCCATCTTCTTTTCCAGTTTTTGTGAATTAAAAATTCATAGTTCCCAGTGGAGGATGGCAGTAGGAATGGGGGCTGTACTCATTTCAGTACTGCTTGTGGCATATTCTAAATTATCTTTTTTTTTTTTTTTTTTTTTTTTTGGGTAGAAGAAGAGAAGAAGTAAAAGGTACTTGGGAAAAGGCAGAGAAATTGGTTGGAGGGTGTTTTTACTGAAGAGCACAGCAGTGACTGGAGCTCTATTGCTATTTTAATAAAAAAAAAAAAACACCCCCTAGAAACTGAATTTTCCCCCTTAATATTATTCTTCCTCTGGTTTACAGAACTATATATTTCTATTTTAATAAATAAAAATATATTTAATAAATATATATTTATATATAGATCGATACTTAATATATAAATATATTTAATAAATATGAATATATTTATATAAAATTATAATATAATGTATAAATATAATTATATTATTTATTTTCTATATTATTTTATTTTATATAATAGTATATATTTTATATATTATTTTTATATATTATTTTTCTATATTATATACAGAAATATATAATATATAAAAGATATATTTTAATAATATATTTATATATATTATATATAATAATATATATTTACATAAAATATTGTATATATTTACATTTCTATTTACAAATATATTTATATTTCTAAATATATTTGTATTTATATTTCTAAATATATTTGT